GGGAAGAAATCGGGCAGCACAGATGGACCTACAGGGCGGGAAGAAATCGGGCACCTTGGACCTACAGGGCGGGAAGAAATCGGGCACCTCGGCTACCCGCCCGAACCGCGTCCCGCCAGAGGCCAAAAACCGGAGGGCCTTCGAACGCGTACTCCACTGTTTTCCTTTCAGTTTCGAACTTGTCTTCGCCCAAACTTGGGAGTGGACTGTTATTCCTGCGAATTCGAAACTGTGCAGCGGTCACCGGCGGAGTTGTCTCAAAAAAAATTAAAAATAAAACAGTATGTTGTTTTTTTCTTTTTGGGACACGGAAGAAATTGCCGAAGCAGCTGTTTAAAAATCACTTTCGGCATTTTCAATATTCATTAAGGCCCCAATCGAGTGTCACACCGTTGAGCCAGCTCAAGTCAATGGTGCAAGTGGGATCTCCCTCCCGGTCTGTTGCAACCCCATCGAGTACTTCATTTTTGACGCAGAATAAGAATGTGCACTCTTCAGTATGACAAACTGTCACTTTAGTCATCCCATCGGCCACACAAAGGGTCTTGGTCACAGCAATAGTCGGGTAGACCTTCTATCTATCCCAACAGCGCAGTGAAGGAATGAATGGCCTCCGGCTTCATTGGGCTTTGGCGGGTGGCATCAATCTGGACGTTTCGGGGGGAAGGGGGCTGAGCCTCGGAGGTGGAGAGGGCACGGTTCCACTAGCACACGAGTAAGGTAAAGTGTATCCCACAAACACCTGTGGGACATCTGCGGGGCATCGTCCCACCACTGATGCAGGAGAAACCCATGGCAGAGAAACTGCAATGGAAGGCGGGAAAGAAAATAGAAAGACTCATTTTGATTGGCAGCTCTTCAAAAGATGAAAAAAAAATGAAGTACTCGAAGGGCATAGTTTAGACCGCCTTCTTTTCCCAGGTCAATTGCAACCCCATCCAGTACTTGATTTTTCTCTCAAAACATACGAAGTGCACCCTTCAGCATGCCAACTGTCAGAGAAGGGAGTCCCATCAGGCACACGAAGGGACTCCTTCGCGGTGGTACGCAAGACTGCAACAGTCACGTACCACTCTGTACTCATTAGGCATTGGCTGGGTGGGGCGCAGGGGGAGGAGACGGGAGGGTTAGTGGGACGGTAGCACTTTCAAAAGTTGGCCTCCCTCCCATCTGAGGATATGTGACGTCGCAATTTTCTTTTTTTAAGTCTTTAAAATGACTTTTCTTCCTTTTCTTACAGTGCTACAGCTCCTGAATCAGGAATAGAGAACGCGTAACCTCTCCCCGGCGAGGCATAGTCTCCTTCATGCACTCGGGGCATTGTATCCGGAGGTTGACTGCCTGCTTGAGGAGGTGGGCTGGCGAAAATGAAGGATGTATAGACCAGGATGAGGAAGACACAGGTGAAACCCGCTGACGAGGCTGCGGGATCGCAACATGACTATGGTGTGCGTGAGTGCCGAACTACGCTGTAACTCGAGGCCGGCCTAATTCGACCAACCCATCGTACATCAATACCTTCTTTCCTTACCATTCACTAGGTCGCCAAATAATTAACTGTTGAACCCTGCAATGCATCGGACGTGTGCGACCCGAAGGCTTTGTTTGATGCATGGGCCGTGTGACGTGCAGGCTTTGAGCATGTGTCAAGACACCGACTTGTAACATTCTCCCTACCCTCTACATCGTCTCCTTCACAACAAGCAACAATTTTTGCGGTTTGCCCCTTGAAAAGTGCTGCTATCACCTTCCTCCTTCAGACGGGTGACCCGACAGGGAACGGAACATCTTGACGCAAGGTTACTATTTCAGAGGGACGTGAGAGAACCCGGCATAGTGAAGCCCAACTGCTTGTAGCTCCGCGATGCACGTGCTGGAAGCCGATAGCAATCAAAGGAAGTATGAACGACATAAAGGCGAATTATTAGCGACGGGCCTAGCTCAGTTGGTACACCCACCGATGACCTGTTGAAATATAGACCTGAGTTCGAATCCAGATGCAACCAAAATGACCAGGATAATCATTCTGAAGTACCTGGGGCCTGTCAGTTCAATGATGATATTCAAAGACCGTCGCCTTTTCAAAAAAAAAATAATAAAAAAAATAAGGCGAGTTAGAAAGGGTGATGGGAGGAGGAGGAGAGGGGAGGGGAGGGGAGGGGAGTGGGGTGTACGTCGCGCATGGTCCCCACATGGCAGCATGCAACTAACGAAAACACGGAGGACAAACGCCTTGGTAAGAAGTGGAGCACGTGACGGGGAGGGTCTGGAGATGGAGCGGAGAATAAGACTGATAAGGAGGGAAGGAGGACGGGTAGAAGGAAGAAGGAAGCCAAAAAAGAAGAAGAAGAAGAAGAAGAAGAAGAAGAAAGGTAAGAAGAAGAAGAAGAAGAAGAAGGAGAGATGATGGAGGTCGGGCTGGCGGGGCCTGAAAGATCGAGAGGGGGAGCAAAAACAAGAAGGACAACGAGAACATACCGGTGATGAAGAAGATTCTGAAGGACGGTGGTGACTTCGTGGGCGCGACACGTGGCAACACGGCTGTCACTTAAAAGGCGATGAGAAATGCCGTGAAGAAGAGAGAACAAACACAGGTGATTTCCCGAATCGCGTCACATCTAGCGTAGACCTGACAATAACGGGAGGATGGAGGAGGAAGGACACGGAAGAGGAGGAGGAGGAACAGAAGAAGGAAGCGCAAAAATAAATCCGTTGTCGATGCTTCCAGAGCGTACACGCTAAGCCGACCAGTGAAGCCGAGAAGTGCCACGCAACGACGATTGAAAGTCCTCCTCCACTCCCTCTCTCTCCCTCTCTCTGCGCCAAGAGAGCTCGGAAGGATGATGTTTTCGTTCTCATCCACCTATCGGAGACGGTGAAAAATCCGCCTAGCTGTGCGTGCGTGCTTGACTAAAAACGTTTCCCAGGAACGTCTCGAGGAGTACGTACGTTTTTT